ATTTTCAATGCTCCAAAATCCGAAGGTTTCATGTATAAAAGGAAGTTCTTTATCAATTTTGTAAACTAAAAAAATAACCATATCTTAAAAAGTGTATTTTTTGAGAAAATATTGGATTATTGGATTAAAATATTGGAGAAAATATTATAAATACCTTGTTCCAAATCATATCGAGTCAAATTCGAATTGAAATTTACCAAAATCACATTGCTATCGGTTAAAAATGTCAAATTCATCAATCTATCTGCGCTCGGCTCGAACAGAATCCATCGGTATGGGTGAGCAAAATATGCAGATTCAATGTCCTGCAGCAACTCATAACTTCCATTGCATCGCATATCAATGAAATACCACTGTTTATTTGTACTTTCATCAAAGATGCGAGGCAACATTTTGGACGGCTCAGTCATTTGAATAGGAATATTGACTACATTTACAAAGTAGAACTTATCCGGTTGCGACCAACGTGAAATCACTGTAAGAATATTTATATTTTCCGTTTTGATTAAATCTTGCACCAATTTTGAAATAACTTTTATTTCCTGGCCATATGATGCCATTACTATAACAACAAAAATCAATGTTATCTTCATGATGTTGAATGCTCGATAAAAACTTCCGGTTTTGATAGATTTTTCGTTTGGAAGTACTTTTTATACCTTCTTATAAATGTGACATGTAAACTCAAATATTTATGATAAATGAAATGATTGCATGTAAGCTAATTCAAAACATTACTCTCCACCAGTAGTGTGCGAGGAAAAAATTTCGAGGGGGGTGATTTCGATTTTTTGGAGATCACTTTTTTGGAGAAAGAATTTTCTCGGCGAAAAACTCTAGGAAATCGGAAAAAAAAATTCCCGTATCCAAAAAAAAACCCCAGCAAATCGAAAGAAATTATCCTATTTCTAACTTTTGTTAAGCAAAAAAAAAAATGGTTTTCACTTTTTGAATCAAAAACCCTAGCAAATTTGAATAATTTCTTTGAAAGTTTTTTCTCATCCAATCACAGAGACGGTGGTTTGGTAAATCAGCCAATCAAAATCTCTAGCAAATCGAAAGAATTTTTCCCGAAAAACCACAGCAATTGCAAAGATTTTCTACCCATTTCTAAGGTTGTTTAGCAAAAAAAGGTCTTCACTTTCCTGTGGACAATCCCTAGCAAATCGAAAGATTTCTCGGCTGTCGTCCGGGGGTTATCTCGGATGATTTAAGAGGGGGGTTATCCGGGCTTGGACCCCTCTGTGCCCATGTATGCCCCTACCCCCTCCGCACACTACTGCTATTGTAACGGACAGTTTTGTTATATAAATAGTATTTAGTGAATGCTGTTCGCTGAACAATCCTTTCAAGCTATTAACCATTATTTGCTTATAAACTGGAAAGAAATATGAAAACCCAGTAATTACTTCGATAATATATCTGGAACCAAAATATGTGTCTTTAACTTGAAATAACGAAGTGAAATATGTAATTTGCAAATCAAAACGAGTAGAAACTATCAATGAAAAATTCTGGTCACGAACTTTTCAATTACAACCTATTAACAAATATTTATCGTTCTGTTGTAATTGAACTACTATGTTAAATTATTATAAAAATGTTGTTTCCCAAACGCCCACGTATCTGCTCATTAGGAAAGGAATTTTCAGTTTCATTGAAATGGTCAGTACCATGTAGTTTTATGGATATAAAAAAAAAAAAGAATTGCGTGACCGATATAACTCCAGCTATTCTTTTCCATAGATTATTAAGAGAATACATGCTTTACTACTCCGTTCCATTCGTTTATTTTTTATTGATAATTTTCGAAAAAGGTCAATATCTTCGAATAAATCAATGATGCTGCGTTCATTGACCAAACAAAGTCAACATGATTAAATGCTTTGTTTATTCGTTGTATGAAAAGTTTGCTATTTTTTAATTTTGTTATTAGTTTCTCCACATCTGGTGCAGCTGCCAGCTGATCTACAACACTATAATGTATGCTCATCGGTATCGTAATCTGTGACAGTGGGAAATCATCTGGTATTTTAAAATTGTCCATATACTTTCCAAAGAAACCGTAATGAATCTCTTGACCATAATGTATAAACTGCTTGAGTGAGACCCCACTTGGCAATTTGCAAAGGAACACGGGCAGCATTGTCTAAATGCAGAACATCAATCGATTTCACTCAAATATATAATCAATTGATTTTGAACTTACATTATTTCTTTGATTTATGCTTGGCCCACATATTATATCGATTATAATATTGCACAATTTTAAATCTATGCCGCAAACTGTGTTGATTAGTTCTGTCAGCAAATAGCTTCTTGGCAAAAATTCATTGCTTCTTATTGCCTGCAATTTATAGTTCGAATGAGTTTTCATCAACGTGTGAATTTGCATAAAAATACAATTTACATTTAGAATGGGTGCGATTTTTGATGCAATACTTGCTGCAATTTGATAAATTTCACCGTCGTTGCTCTGATAAGCAGCTGGGGCCATGAGACTTGCAGCATATATTTTTTCATTATATTCTGGCCGTTTGGATAGTAGTACAAGTGCCTAAATTCACATCAATGAATAAATGAAATGGAATTTAACAAAACTGAACAAAAAGGTATACTTGCCGAGGTAGTTCCCTGTGAGTAACCCACATAATATGTTTTTGAATTATTTGTATTTTGGAGAATGTAATCAATTACGGCAGGTAAATCATACACACCAATCTCATACCACGAAAAATCCCAAAAAGCACTAAACAATTCATTCGGATCTTTTGATATATGATTTCTGGAGTAAACATTTCCCCTGCCATTAACTAACCATACGTCATAATTGGCATCGGCTAGTATATATGCTTTAATTTCAATAAATTGAACACTTTATGTAATTAGCACCTGTTCACAATTTATCTTAATAATTTTCACACATCATTTTCATAATTGAACTATTGAACTTGACTTTTAATTTACCTAGTGCATGTTTCGGAGTATCTATGCAAAAATCATCGCTGGATAACAGCAAACCGTGATTCAAAATAACTGACTTCTTTGCGTTTGATGTCAAATTTTTTGAATTACAACGAAATATCGTTAAAATATATCCATCTTCGGTGGTAACTTTATGTGTTTCGGCTTCATATCCATAATATTCAACGAGTTGATCCTTTATTTAAATGAATTCAATAAATTGTTTTTAAATATATTTGAAAATCTACGTTTTGAAAAGAAAAATCTTAAGCATTTTTACTGTTTTTAGTCCACACAATTCTGTTGGCGCCGAATTTCTTGAATGAATCGATGCAATCGGCAATAAAATGATATGAACCAAAGTCACGACTAAGCTGGATGTGTCTAGATCCATTTTCAGTCTGAATTGAATAGAAATTGACGGCAAACGGTGCTTCTTATAACATTGCGAACGAGCGAACGTTCTAATTGAGCACAACAATGAAAGTGATTACATTTTCTGAGTTCAGATCTTTTTTTTCTGTTTGTATCAGTTACATTTCGATCATATTTGTTTATCATGAGATTCATATTTGCACGATACCTGCTAAAATAATAATTAAATTTATTGAAATGACTTTCAAAATTAAAGTAATTACAAATGAAACGGCAAATTTTTTTTCACTATAAACATTTTATTTGATTGTTTATGTCTCAGAATCACACTATGGTAGAGCATTTTCAATATCGATATCCATATTTGGAACGATATAATTAGATAGTTTCATTGTTTTAACGATTTCATCGTAGAGCAGGAAGGGAGCGTCTATACCTAGGGGATAATCATAAAAGAAAAGAATAAAATTAATTTAAAATAATCGAAATAATCGAAAAAGAATCAATAAAAATTATTAAATAATAGAAAGGCAATTTTTAAGTGAATTGCTAGTAGTAACATACCCCATACAAAATCTGAAATTGAAAATGAACATTAAAAAAAACTGTAAATCGAAGAGTAAATATAAATCGCTTTTACCAATGTGATTGAATTTTTTATGCGGTACAATATAGTTGTTGATCACATTTGGCAGTGATTTTAGTAAGTGTTCCGTATCTTTAACATCAGCCAACCAATCATCTTGTGAATAATAAACGGCTACCGGTACTTTGACGTTGTTCAAATTATAATCCGGGGGTGAAATGCGTTTATATCGAAGTAGATTTCCTATGCGACCATGATCAAACTGCCGAAAATGGCCCGAGTTCACCTCTTGGCCATATTGAATCATTTGATTAGTGGCTGATCCGGCCGGAGTGTGCCCTAATAAAACAAAAATAGAAAAAAAAGATGATTGTCATTCAGATAATTCAAGTTGTCGAAGTTCGACGTCCTTACCCAGAATAACTGGAAGTAATGTCTATGTTGCAACAAATTAAAACGATAATTACTATATTTAATAGATGCAGTAAAGTATTTAAATTTAATTGTCTTACCGCATTCAATTGATCTGACGCGTATCCCATGACTAAGAATAATAGATTTTCGCATATTATTTGTGTGGGCACTTCATCTCGACATATAAGCTTTCCGGCTAAAATTAAAAATTCATCGTTCGGCGTTATATAGTTTAATCCTATAAATGACGATATTTTCTACAGTATAAAAAAAACCAGGAAAATGAAAAACTGTTATTATCTTAATTTGAATTCGGACTTTGAATTATTGTAACGATAATTTATTCAATCTACTGTGAATAGTATGAATTCAATTGATGTAAAATTAAAAGTATATCAGATTAAAAAAAATACGAAATTTGAATATACGAACCGATATAATAGACACAAACGGTGCGATAACGCGAATTGGTGGACTGATAACGTGTGATAAAAACGCAATAGGAGCCAGTGCGTGCATCATTTCTATTTTTTGATTATATTCAGGTCGTTCAGAGCACATAACGAAAAATGCCTGCATTTGAAAGTTTTATCAATGTATGTATACATTAAATTTATGTCATTATGATTTACCGTTGTGCCTTGGGAATGCCCAACAAATTGTAATTTCATTTGGCCTGTCTCGGCGAGAACGTAGTCTATTGTAGCCGGTAAATCATACCGACCCATTTCATCCCATGAAAAGTCCCAAAACTTTTTACGATCCTTTGATGAACCAAATGGATTATAAGTGGTATGATTGCAGGAATAAGTATTTCCTCGTGAATTGGCTATTTAAAACAATATGATATTTTATATTCGATTATTGTGTTGCCGGAAATGATATGGATATGATTATTAGAATTTGTGACTGAGAAAAAAACGTTTATGTATTTTAAATTTACCTAGCCAAACATCCATATTCTCATCAGCCAGTAAATAACCTTTGAGAAAAAAAAACATTATGAGTTTCAGTACAAAAGATCGGTTCAATTTCAAGATTTATATGTGTCAAAAATGACATCCATTCGACTGTTCCTAAGCTCAATTTGAGAATAAATGCAAAAAAAATGTTAGTCAACCTAATCCATGACCGGGTCCTGTTAAAATCCAGGTGGCACTTGAATCAAGCAGACCATGTTGTAAGATGCAAACTTTCTTTCCATTTTTAGCTGGATATTTCTCGCCACCAGTGATACGATGTAATTGCAATATATAACCATCGTCTGTTGTAACGTAGTGCACTTCAACCTTGTAACCATACTTGTTAATTAATTGCGGCTAATTAAATTTAATGAGAGAATAATTAACAACATATAAAAAACCAGAGATTAAAACTTGAACTTGAACGCATAACTTCACATATATAAATTACACACCGTAGTTAGTGTAGCATCTTCAGCAATGCTTGGATCTATTGTGGGAAAAATCAATTGTTCATCTGACGTGTAATTTTCAACATATGTTTCGTTCAAATCAAATCGAGTTATAAGTGTCGGTTCACGCGCTTGACAAACTGCTATTAATACTGCTACACCAAAAATTATAAACATTATTTCACTTTTATTTGCGGACAACTTATTAAAGTGCTTTCTGTTGCTTAAACGAACGATAAATGAATCATTTACTCGGAAATGCATATATCATATATGTTCCGAACTGGCATCGTTTATTCTGAACTTCGGGCGAAATTCGTTATGTTGAAAAACTGAATTCATTAGCTAGTTAATAATGTTGACGGCTTATCGCTTGACCAGAATAACGATAGCTGTGAATAATCAATTTGTTGTTTATATTATGTACGTACTACGTAGATTGTACACAACAACAAACTGCTTTTGCTGATAAAGCCAAACAAAAGTGGAAATTGAAAAAACGACAATGAAAGAATCGATTAAAACATATCCATACACTCATCAGATTACAATTTTAAAAACAAAACGCGTTCTTTTATCGGTGCGTTTTTTATTCAATAAAATGGGTGACGAGGAAAACATGGTATGATTGCTTGCATCGTATAATTTTGACATGATGAATATAAATAAGTTATCTCTTTTAAGCATTCTTTACATAATTTCATTTGATAAGAAGATAAGGTGCATGCCAATGTATGAGCTATCTGTTGGAATGTGTTGAAAGTGCAGAGACTGCTTTTCAGAACAATATATGTGAGAAGGAGCGATCTGAGAAGCCAGAATTTCATTTAATTCTTCAATACACATTTTGCTAAAAGAGGGGATCGGTAGCAACGCTTTCAGCGTCTATCTTATCAATGATAGATCGAACAGTAAACAAAACTTCTCTTGAACAATAGTTATTTTACTATAAAATTTATCGCTCGTTCAAGTGTAGATTGAATAGTTTCTATTAATATCAATTTGCACTATAATCCAATTTATTATTGACACTTCAAATACAAAGATTAAAATATACGACGTTAAACAAATAATAATAATAATTAAACATAGCAATATCTCCCTCCGTCCACACTAATTCACGAAAAGATCGAAATGTTACAAAATTCAGAAATGACAACTGCAGATATTCGTTCAATGGTCTTAGTCTGTATCTTATTTTGAATGATGCCTCTAACTGGCAAGATCGTAAAAATGATCGGATCGAGTTGAAATTGAAATGATATCAAGTAAATATAGGTAAAAGAAACTTAAATTTCAATTTTGGTGTGAATCGGTTCACCTGAAGTTCAGGTCCTGAGCTATGTTTCAAGACGGTCTTGTCGGTTTGTATGAAAAAAAAAACATAGGTATATACTTATCTAGTGAACAAATTTTGTACCGCATAAGTGAAGATCACATTTGGAACGAACGACTGGAGACGGTGTTGTATTTTTCGTTTTCATCACCACAACCAAAATATTTTTTTTACTTTAATTATTGTATATATTAAATTGAAAATATAACAAAAATACTATATCCTCAAAATTTTTCAAGTTGATTGGAAAATGTTTTTTCACACTTTGAAAAAATAAATTTTTGGCAAATAATTTGTCATGCTTTTTCCTCGAATGCTCGCACTTGACTGATGACAGCACTCAAAGGAGTGATCGGATTGCATTCATCCAAAGGAATGAAATCTAAAAATGGGAATTCTAAAGACGTTCTTTGATCATTTGAACAAACTTTTTTTTTACATTTAAATTTTATTGTCAAAAATGGCCGACCGTCTTAAGACGGTCTTACCAGTTGGAGGGTTAAATATTGAAATAAAAAAAACGCATATTTATTTCAATTTCGTGCATTTATTTTTCCAATTAAGATTTTCTATGAATAATTTAGTTATAATTGATATCGTTTAATATATGTTTAATCTTTGTCGTAATATCTCGCTAAAAATGTGCGGGGATTTCATTGTTTTTAAATATGTACATCGATAGTGTTCTTTTTAATTATTTATTATGCCCGATTGAAAATTGTCCTGCATTCAGAATTTATTCAGAATTGTTCAGTTACTCCATGTCCAACACTGCTCACAAACCATTTAATTTCATATCAAAATATCCAAAGTCTTTGTTTCCTTGTCAATTACTTACTATCTACCAATTTGTATACAAAGATACTTCGTCCCGAACATAAATAAAAAGTGTTTAGATGTCAATAGTACGGAATAATTAAAATGAAAAAATAAAAATAAAAAAGAACAATATTATGAAATTAACAAATATAAATTGGAACCTAATTATCTAGAATTTTTAGTTTTAAATGGATATCGCTATAGGTATTGCAATTTATTATTTGAAAATTTGTATTTTTATTCGTTTGCTAACGATACGTGCAAACGAATTAAAACGAACAACAACATGTTTTTTTGCTAGATTACGAATTCTATATGAATAATATTGGCTAAGTTTTTTGTTCTGTTCTTGCTTATTCACACTTATTTTTTACTGTGATCATGATTTGATTGGTCTGATGTATTAAATATAGTGCACTGATGAACACAGCATTGGCTCTGAAATTAGAAATGAAATCATTTGGTGAACAAACGTTGCAGACATTCGCATAGATTGATTGATGCGATTGTATTTTACTTACTGCCCTTCCTTGAAATATTCCTTCAGTGTCGTACTGAATTTCTTTGAATATTTTACAAATTCCTTTTTTCGTTGTTCCACTGCTTGTTTGCCCGAGGTGCCCGGTATGAAGCCAACCACTTCGTTGACTGCGTCAAGCAACTTTTTGATGGCACTTGCTATCTCTCTGTGAATTCAAAAAGACATTTTAATTGTAACATGATTTCTACGTTTGTGTCATTAAATAATTAAGATGCTCACTTGATTGTCTCCAAGAATGTTTTGCGATCGCTGATTTCATCAGGAATTCGGCTCAAAATTCGTTTGAGTGAAGCTGATTTTTTGTTCAATTCCTGAAAGGCATCTTCGGAACGATTTAAACGATATTCAACCACTGAAAATGAGAGAATTAAATATATGTCAACATATTTGAATCCCTTAGAATAAATCAACATTACTAGATAAATGTCTTCAAATGCGTTACTGAAAAAAGTCAGTCAGCAAAAGCGTTATAAAATATATGGACGATGTCACGCTTTTGTTGGCGAAATTTTTTATATAACGCGTCACATACAGTTCTTGACACTATTGCTGACGTACTTTTTTCTATAACGCATTTGAAGACATTTATCTAGTAATGCTGATTTATTCTAGGCGGTTCAATTGGTTGTAAAACATTGAACATTGGCCTATGAACACTTACAATCACTTTCGGACGCATTACCCTGTAATCTCAAGATACTTTCGTTCAAATTGACATTAAGATCGCCCTTTTTCAAAATGCCCATCACAATGTCATACGATAGGCCTGGATGCGCTTGTTCGGCTTTTGTCAAAGCAGCTCGAAGTGTTTGCGATGCGACCACATCTCGTCGTTCCAACTGCAATTTAACAACAACAAAAAAATATATTTTTTTTCTTTCATATAAGCATGTGATTCAGTGTGACTGACATTTGGAGTACACATTACCTGTGATAATATTGGACGCAATAGAACTGGCAAAACTAGCGTTGAAACTGGTGTATCATCGCTCATTGTCATTGTTGTTTGTTTTTATTATTTGCAGTGATCAACGAGGAAAAGAAAATTGTGAATAAAAACTCGACCAAATTTAGATTTTGGCTAATATAAACGTTAATAATTTCAATGTGAACACAATGTCAAAATGTTGTTTGTGGCCTAATTTTGTTTTTCACATAAAAAATTTGTTTATATTTGCACAAGATGATGCTCATTGATAGATTCTTTTACAGCAACGAATGGTTTACAATACGACGAATTCCACACGTATGTTATTCACTTGATTTCACTTGATGATGGCATTTATAACTTGCGAACATCAATTACAATTTATTTTGGTGGAGAAAAACCAAAAACAAATTGAATCACAAAAACGACGTCAACTCAATAATTAAAATATAATTTTTCATTCGATTTAATGGAAAAAACTGCAATTTTTTTTTCCAACTAATGAGTTGCCACTTCTTTTTTCTCTCTTTCAATTACAATACACACAGAGAAATAATAACATTCGATTCGAGAAACACGAATGCACGTAACAAACACAATAGATTCATACGTACATCAAACTAACCAAGAAAACAACAACAACTGTACATGCCCCTTTTGGACTGTGTGTAGTCGTATCTCTTCGATGCGTAAATCGTATACGTGTGTGAGTGCGGATGTTAGTTTGTGTGTATAAATATGTGTGGTATTTGCCATTAGATTTGAAGTTGGTCACGAAACACACCTAACCAAATTCAACGTCAACCAACTTGACAGGTTATTTCTATTGTTTTTATTCAGCAGTATACTCTCCGATTCTCATATTCATATATAGGTTTGTACGATTCAACAAATTTTGTGACATTTTTTCGGCAAAATTTTATAGATTTTTGAGAGAAAAATTAAATTTGATGCAATTGCAGCAATACGGCACTAAAATCTGTATTGACATTAGAAAAACAAGACCACTTCAAAAGCAAGTTCAGACCAGTTTTAGATTCAGCACAGAAAAATAAAGCATGTTTGAATCTGTCATGGGTTTGCATTCTGTTTGACACATTCAGTTCGTATGAAAACGACATAGAATAGAATTTTATACTATTGAAACGTGCGAAAAACATATATATATATTTTTTGAATTTGTTTCGCTTTAATGTTCCTAATAGCTTTGGATAGAATATAAATCGATTCAATGTGTGTGCCGAATTTAAATTTCGTGGGAAATAACACAAAGAAAGTCTAAAGTTCAAGAAATTTTGGTCGTCAGAAGAGAGAGAGAGAGACAGAAAAAAAGAATAAACACACAGTGCATACGATGTGAGTGAATTGCGTTGATTTATCATGCTAATTTGAATGTTTTTTCAATGCCACTTTCCAGTTTCCGTTAAATAAAAAAAAACAATCTATTCAATCGACAGGAAAACATTCTACAGACCTGACGAAATGGACTCAGACTTAGACGGTGAATTGATGGAGGGACAAAATGAAGGGACGAACGATGACATTTTAATTGGTTTTGCCGATGAAGGTGACGAAGAAGTTGGCGGCGTGGTTTTGGCCGAGGCAACCGATTCGGATGACAGTATCTTGACAATTCCGAATAGTGACTTTGAAGAATCCGATTCAGACGATGAATACGCCCCTGATTCAAGTGATGACGATACAATGAAAAATTCGAATCAACAAAATGCAGGCGCCCATACGCGAAATGGTGGAAATGCGTCCACATCAACAGGTGGCGATGAGGAAGAGGACGATGTGATTGCAAAAATTTTGGCCAACACAAAGACACCACGCACACATCCGCCCGACATTTCAATCGATGATTACGTCGTTGATCTCTCGTTCCATCCCGATAAGGATATATTGGCAGCAGCCACAATAAGTGGCGACGCAATGATTTATAAATATTCCGATGACGGAAATGAATTAGTAAACACATTAGAATTACATGTGAAGGCAATTCGTGACATTGAATTCAATCATGATGGTAGTGTATTATTTTCGGCATCAAAAGATCGTTCTATTCTATTAACCGATTTAGAAACGGGAAAATTCAAACGTTGCTATGAACAGGCACACGAGCAGCCCGTTTGCAAAATGAATGTGTTCGATGAAAATTTATTTGCCACCGGCGATGATGATGGCACCGTTAAGGTATGGGATATTCGAGACAAAAGCAACAGTCCGATATTTTCATTGAAAGAAGTCGATGATTATATCACATCGATACTCACAAACGACGCAAAAAAAGTTCTACTCACAACAAGTGGTGACGGTTATTTGACAGCAATTAATATTGGCTCAAGGTTGGTTTTCATTCACTGTTATTGGCTAATTTATTTGAAATTTGGTTTTTAAAATCGACTTTGCTTTGCTTACAGAAAATTATTCGTTCAATCGGAACCATATGACGAGGAATTGACTTGCATGGGCCTATTTAGAAACGATTCAAAATTGATAGTTGGAACGTCAAAGGGTCGTTTATACACATTTAATTGGAATGAATTTGGTTATCACAATAACATGTATCCCGGACCGAAAACACCAATGAGCCACATGATACCAGTCACCGATCGAGTTGCTGTCGTTGCTGGTGAAGAGGGTGTGTTGCGCGCTTTACATTGTATTCCAGGACGAAATCTTGGTGTTGCCGGTCAACATTCACTAGCGGTTGATGCGATGGATATTAATCACAGCGGCGAATACATTGCATCATCAGCGGATAATAATGAGATCAAATTCTGGAACATCAAATATTTCGAAGATTTGGATGACATCAAATATAATGAAAAGCACAACAAATCCAAGGAGCACAAACACAATTTGCCATCATCAAAAGTGGCCAATGCTGGCGATTTCTTTAGCGATTTAGTTTAAGAAATTGATTATGTTTTCTATTTCATTTTTATGTTTAATGAATGTGTAAAATTTTATTAATTAAATGAATCCGAATAAAAACTCGAATTTGCATCATGGAAATTTCATCAGGAGAGAACAAGATGTGAAATGCGAGTTCAAGTTTTTATTCACACTCATTCAATTCACATTAAGTTTAAATTAATCTATTCTTCTTTTTTGTAAAAAAACAAAAGGAAAAAATATCCGAATAACATTCGGTGAATATCATTAAATATTTCCACATACACACACAAACACACAAATCACAAGTCTCGTCTTTGAATTCAGGTTATTGTCATTTCAGTTGCTTGTCAAAAATGTGAGGTTATGTCATTTCATATTACGTGAAGAGCAGTCACATTACTTTAATACCGCTATTGTTTACAAAAAAAATCACAATGCTCGTGCGACAATTGCAGTCACACTGCACAAGAAGAGTCACATTGTTAAAGAGTTGCTTGGAAAAACATCAAATTAATCATAATTCAAAAAGACTAAAATCAATTACACAGTGGTGGAACAAAGTGTGGCAAACCTTTGATGGAGAAGTCATCAAACCACCTTATAAACATTGCGTCCAAGTTGGTAAGAAAGTAGAAACATAATAGAGTAAAATACAAAGTGATAAAATCAATAATTCGATTCAGGTGATCCCGTTTTGAGATGCAGAGCGGCCGAAGTTCCGGTGGAGAAGATAAAAAGCGATGAAGTCCAACAATTGATAAAACAAATGAAAAATGTGTTACATCATTATAATCTTCTCGGACTGGCTGCACCACAGATCGGTGTCTCCTCTCGTGTCATCATTATGGAAGCAACTGAGCAATTGCGGGAAAAGTACCCGAAAGATGTGTACACAAATCGACAAATGTCTATTTTACCATTAACTGTGAGTGTCATTAAATGGTATTATGTAACGACTACAACATAATATTTTTTATTCGAAAGTTTTTATTTCACCTTTTAATATGGTTTAATTGTTATTTTATACCCTCGAAGACATTCATCAATCCAGTGCTTCAAGTAAAAAATTTCAATATAAAAATGTTCCCAGAAGGATGTGGCAGTGTGTGCGGATATAGTGGAGACGTAAAAAGATATGAGGAGGTGTTGTTGAATGGATTCAATGAAAACGGTGATGCAATCGAAATGCATCTGAAAGGTTGGAATGCACGGATAGCCCAACATGACATGGATCACTTGAACGGACAAATTTTTATCGATATTATGGAGAAAAAAACATTTAGCTGTGTTACATGGCAAGCCGTAAACGCGACCGGTGGTCAGATACACATACCATTTTATCCACCAAAGAAAAGGCTACCAATAAATTTGAATCCGGCCAAGAAGAGCACGGTTACATAAAAAATTATTTACTGTTTAAATAAATTAAAGTCATTTCACTCTTTCAGACATGAAAAACGAACAACTAAAGCTATTTATTCCAATAAACAATTGTTGGTGCAAATTCATCCATTATCGGGCATATGTTGACGGTCAATTTTGTGGCCGGATTTGTGTGTAGTTTCAGTCATTTTCAACGTCACCAGTGGAAGAAAAAGAAGGAGAAAGAAAAAGTTAGCTAAAATCTATAGAGCCATATTTCTATCGGCGAAAATGGATTTTTTTCGAATGTTATTTAACTGAGCGCCACATCCAAATTAAATTCATTTTTAACATTTGATAAAATAATACTTACCTACAGATAAATCTGTACTGAACTGTGTACAATTACACATTTAGATAATGTGTACTATACACAATCACCAAAGCCACAAAATACAAGCTTTGCTACTAACTACCAGAGTTATTATATTTTTTTCTTTTTGATTTCGACGCTGCTTAATCATTGATCTGGAACAACGTTTGCATTGGCTCTTCTGCGTGCTGGTTGTGTTCTACGCAATGGTGGTCTTGGAGGTGCTGGTGCTCTGACATACGAGTTGTGCATTTCCAAATTGAATATGTAACAAAGACCTGTAATTAATAAGAGGCAATTTAAATTATTGGAAAATATACCAAATAAATTACAGTGTTTACCTTTGTACATAATGCATCTAGCCGCAACAATGTCTCGATGCCAAACGGTGCAAAATCGTTTTTGATGTTGCTGTTGTTGTTGTTGTTCCGGATATTTATCAGCGTCGCCTCCCATTTGAATTGCATTCACAGGGTTTAGTAGCCAGTTTTTCAGAAAGTACATTTTCTTTGACTCTAATCGCCCTGGTTGAAATTCTGCTGGTTGATTTGCTGGATCCATGATGCCTCTTGCGATCAATTTCTTCACGCAGCTATCTTTCTTTTTGCGTCGTCGACTCTTCTTCGTCACAATTAGCCGTGGTAGTGAGATATACGGTTCTATTTCTTGTGGTATTGGTGCATCGCGAGTACAGTGGCACACTTTGAATCGATATTTTTGTGTTTGAATCGGGAATTTCTTCTGGCAATTCGCACAGTGTTGAGATGTGAAATCTTCATTCACTTTGTGTACATCTGAATGGCCAAGTTTTTTAACGCTGCATTGAAGATGCCGTGTACCTGGGCATCGTTTTCCCTTTTTTATGCCAATTGGTGAATTGGGTGCCATATCCACTGCTCCGATGTTTATAAGCGATGGCTCATTCTTTGTTATTACTTTCGCCAGCCAATCTTTCTCACCTTGTGACCCGATGTATTTGTCAAACGAAAGCCGTGCATAACGTCGCCGAGCATATGCAGCCACTGCATCTTTCACCATGGTTAATCGATGCCTGACGTAATTTCTCCATCGGATTCCTCGCGGTGATGGTATCGATGGATAGCTTTCACGGTCCAATTGCTCTCGTTGCGTGAATCTGGCAGTCATACGCTTTCCCATTTTGTCTCTGACTTTTTGTCCGGCACCCCAATGATATGACTGAAGATATCTTGAAATTTTCCTTTAACAAAAAAATTTAAAAATGAGCATTGATTTTTGTAGAAAACATTTTATTTAAATATAAACTCACCTCAGTGCGATCTTCAATATTCCGACGAATTCCGGCTAAGTATGTTTTCATACCGGGATCAATTGCGACGATGTATTTATACTCATTGTTCTCGAGTTTTTGCTTGATTCTTTGTCGATGCAGCTCCGTATTCTCGATCTCAGGCTTTGGTGTTCTGTACAATACCGACGCGGAAACGCTATCGCAGACTATCATATGATGAAACTGTTGGTTCGGTTTCTTGATCTCGTTGATTTTGTCCATGTTGAACAAAATGGCCCATGCTTCATCTTCGTTCTCCTTGTAATAGTTACGGCTATACATATTATGCCCTCCATGATCATTGTTAAATATCTTCGGCACAACTTTCCATTGGGCCAGCAGGCTCATCAAATCATCTTGATCGAATTTAATGTGTTTCAACTTCGAGTCACATATCGGTATGACGGTGAAATTTCTTATTTTTGGTGGCAATGGCTTGGATGGTTTGCAATAAAAAAGCGGATGGCGTTGGTGTCGTAGCCATAATTGCACAAGATCGTGATGCTCTTCCAAAAATATACTTATTTCACGTTGAATGAAGATGAAAAACCACAACGATTCAAACCACTTTTTCTCGATGTATTCAATCATTGACAAATATTCGCGAAATGATGGTAAACAGCGTACGGCGACTTGTTCATACAACTCATTCATTTTGTTCGTTCGGTGTTGATCGCCTCCGGTACAATCTTGATTGAACATAAGATTGTTCTTTGCATTTCTTATGTCAATGCCATCAAATTTTATGAGCCGATTAGGGTCTTCGTTCAATTGATAGCGAATCATTTGCAAGAAGCTCTCCAATATATTATCTAAATGCGTTGTCAAATTTGTCGTAACATTTGTCAAATATTGTTGATTCAAGTATTCAAATGCGTTGCCCATTTGGTACCTACTTGGCCATTCAAATTGATCATCGGCAATCATTTCAAGGAATCCACGTGGTATTTTCGGTTGTTTTGGATTTTTCAAATTTTCTCGTGATACGGCGGCGAAACACTCACGTATAACATTTTTTCCATCACTGTCAATGAAATATTGCCGATCATCGTTATCTGCTGCAAGGTTGACAACATATAAAAACAATGTCGAACCTAGGTAGCATATTACTGTACCATTGTAGCATTTATGGAAAAAATGCTCTGATAGCGCTTCCGAATATTCAGACTTGAATATCGAAGGCGCTGACAGTTTTATCGATCGCAACTCTTCATTGTCGTTCAATTTTGCCGTATTTTTCTTAAAGGCTGAATTTATTTTTGCACGTCTCCTCTTCATTGTAATGAAAATTAAATCTGTTCAGAAAAAAAACACGAAAAAATTGTCAAATTCGTGGCACACAGTCCATTGATCACTTCAAAAAAAAAAAATCAAGAAAAATGGTTCGTTTTTGAGTACTTACCAACAACACTGTCACATTCACTGCAAAATGACAAAAAGCGCGTTCGAAAATGTTGTATTCACGATGCAATGGTCGACAATTGGAACACAAGGCTAGCGAGAGAGATTAAATAATTGCATAAATTTAATTAAAACACTTTTTCATTTGAAAAATATATATACAAATATAGAGCGGTCAAAGAGACGCTTACTGCTGTGAAATTCTTTACTAAACTGTGGAATCACCTCAAAAATGCACCCGAATTTATAGGGAATTATTGTTGAATCGACAAAAGTAAACGTTTATTAAAAATGGCCGATGATCAAAATCGAAATGTAAATCACCGTATGAAAATATTATTTGTAAAATAGCATAACAGCACTCTTGGTTTGAAGCACAATCTTGAAAATGAACAGAAACTGTTTTTCAAACGTTTTGATATGAAAATGAGATTTTATTTGTGTTGTCGAAGAAAACGATTTATTTAGTTACTTTCATTTCACCATCAGAATATATTGTGTTCTGATTTACAAAACAACTCCTTCTGAAATGTTACGATTGAAACTAATCAACACAATGCACCGTACACATTTGAAGTAACAATCAAAATGAACGTCGGCGAGAAATGTCAAATTATAAACAAAGAGAGATGTGTGATTTTCGGTTGAAATTTGAATTTTGCTGACACAAGCAAATTAAGAAAAATCTGACTGAATACACAGAGTGATACATAATGTATATGTAGACAGAAATGCATATGAATAATCAATACGTTGTATCAAATGCTGTTATTGCTTACGAAGCATACTGTTAATCAACGAACACACATAGCTATCACACGGAGTCTGTCGAAACGTTTTATGTAAACACAATCGAAAAGAGAAATGTTTATGTATGCGATGCGATTATTGTTTATAAAAATGCTTTAAACTTCAACTCCGACATCAAGTCTCACACCAGTAAATAAAACAAATGGAAATATTCTATTGAAATATATTACTCTTTTGCATACAATTTTCTTTCAAAAATTACCACTAAACTGGGCCAAAACATTACATTTTTCAACGTTAAAATGAATAAAAAAACATTACATTTTTGTTTGTTGGGAAATCTCGATCTTACGTTCTCGCGTCTGGAATGAATTTTGAACAGAGTTTTTGACATGCAGTTGATTCCCATTCAATTGTACCTGTGTAAATTGTGTATGCATCATTGCAAATTCACTCGTAGTCACGTACAACAACAAGAGCAAACGTTTCAACACAATCGATACATAAGTTTATTATTTGCGTTTTTTGTTGGTGTATATGAACCAAAGTTTACCTCTGAATCTAGTTGAGTTTATCCCAAAATAATATAATAAAAAGACGCATGCGACATAAATGTTCTGTAATATGCTTAAGAGATTTGTATATACGATTGTTATTGCTGTTCCCATTTGTGAGGAACATACAAGAGATGTGATTTCTAACATAATTCTTCGTCACAAATATAACGGTACGAATAGTGCATTCGTATGTTTGAGTTTGTAATATATGTGTGTTAGTGTATTACATTGACAGAGAAATTTCCGATTTCACATAGATTCACACGTTCAACATTTGTCTTACAATTGAATAAATTCAGCATTCAACCAAAAGAATGTTAATGGAGTAATCAGTATCTTTTCTTCACTTTGTCATGCGTTCATTCAAACAACTTCTACTTTAAATTCGGAAATGGTACATCCTTGATCGTTTTGTGTGTTTATACGTAGGCGACTATTTAAGTTTCTTCAATATGTATGTTTTAGTATAGCCCGATGCAAACCATTGTCATATTCGTTAAGCTAAACATTTTGTAGCATAAACGTTCTCAGAACGTTTTGTCATTCGATCGTTATTTGTATTGTTTACCGTAACATGTAAATTGCGTCTCAGCCAAAAAATGAATTTTACTCGTGAAAATTTTCGAGCGATTATTTTTTTCCACTTTCGATTGGGTGTATCACAACAACAGTGTTTTGATCAACTTCATTTGGCCTTTGGCGATGAAGTACCAAGTCTTCGGACAATTTATAATTGGTACAACGAATTCAAGCGCGGTCGCCTATCGCTCATCGACGAGTTCCGCGAAGGTCGTCCAAAATCAGTTGTTGTACCAGAAAACATCGATGCTGTCAGAAATATGATAATGAAAGATCGTCATGTAACATATCACGAGATTGAGGCATCCCTGGGCATTAGTGCGACCAGCGTATTTAAGATTTTACATGAACATTTAGCTGTCAGAAAGATTTGCTCTCGTTGGATACCACATAATTTGACAATCGCTCAAAAAAAGGCTCGTGTCAATTGGTGTAAACAAATGCTCAAGAAATTCAATCAATATACCTGTACAATTCTATATCATTTATATAATAGTGATAATGTTCTGGTTAATGTACCTTGCCACTTTGCTACAGAGTATGTCTAAATAAAGAATAAAAGAAAATAATCAAATTGCTTTTGTCTCATGCTCAGGAAAAATGATACGTTCCAAAAATGTACATTTAATCACAAAAATGATATAATTACAATTGGTATTGGTGGTAAATCTTTTCAAATTAGACTAAATCCGCATTTATTTTCACCACGCTCAAAGCCAGCAACATTTCTTGGGATTCTTGTAGACTTTGTTCAGTAGTGTGCGAGGAAAATTTTTCAGGGGAGGGGTTGATTTTTCGAAACCAAAAAATTCTCTAGCAAATCAGACAAATTCGTTTTTTTTTTTTTGGAAGTCACTTTCTGAGGCAAAAATCCCTAGCAAATTGAAAAAAATTGTCTCGGAACCAAAAACCTTAGCAAATTGAAAGAATTCTCCTCAATTTTCTACATTGATGAGCTAAAGAAAAGGTCTTCACTTTTTGAAATTCGAATAATTTCAAAGCAAGAACCCTAGCAAATTCGAATAATTTTCGCGGAAAATATTTTTCATCCAAATCACATAGGGGGAAACCCCCCCTCCGCACACTACTGACTTTGATGTATATGTACAGAGCGACCCATAAGTTCGACGGAAATTTTGAGAAAGAAAAATGTTCCGAATAAGCAAGCGCGTCTTCTAATTAATGTAAAGGCGTATTGTTCTTTTATGTGAACTCAATTTCGCTCAGTCACACTGCTGATTTCAATTATATTCAAATTCAAAAGCAGCGACGCGCACATTATGGAATTTTCTGAGTTGAAAATGGACCAAGTCAACAAGTTTACGATAAAATGCATTTGAAGTTGAAATACGTTGGATAATCATATCCGTCACGTGGACGCACAACGTGATTTTCCATTTACTCTTCTTTTCCATCGCCTCAAAGCATGCGTGATAGACTGCGCTTCAGTAACACAATCTCATGCACACTTAGTTCGATATAATGCACAAACATTCAATCGGTGTAAGCAATACATAAACTACACAGTGCTCATTGTATGTGATCGGTAGAAACAGAAATTTTCCACATTTCGGTGCAGGGCTTTCACCATCTCGTCTCACAAATCATCGAGCAGCTGAAGCGAATGGACGCTTAAATTTTTTAAAACTACAGAAGTTTTTGATCAGTTAATTTTTTTGTGAAATATTCCTGTTTGTCTCATTTTAAATGCAACTAATGTGATCAAATACGTATTTCAAGTGAAAACAAGTTTTTAATTTGGAAATTATCGAAAAAGGTGATTTTTTTTGTTTTTCCCAAAAAGTCATTACAATAATAATATCGGTGTTATAGCATTTATAGCACGAGAAAATCGATACAATCAGTTTCGTTTGCTACGTTTTAAAAAAGGTGAAAAACCGGACATAAATTGGATCAAAGAATTTCAGTTCACTATTCAGTGTAATAAAATCTTGCATAAGACGATTTAAGTCAATGTCATTAGAAAACAAAACTGAATACATTGTTGATAAAAATTAAATTACTTTCAATTTTTTTTTTGCGGAGCGTTTACGAAGAAACCATTGAAATTGATTGCAAATGCAAGAAGTTGAAGGCATTCAATGATTTTGAATTCGAACATTAATGATATTGTAAAAAAGAAACGCTCCTCTTCTTCAACGCCGCAGTGCAAACACGGATGTGAAAACTACACGTGTAACTGTGAGTCAGATTAAAAACGGATTTCAATTACCGTTGATAAATTATGAATCCAGGAGTTTGAGACATAAACAACTCATTCCCTACCATATCATATATATTCCTTTAAATAACATAACAAGAATTAAACGACCAAACACAAACACGTAGTAAAAAAATTTCATGAAGAAATTAACACGCGCATTTGAATTTTATGCAACGCTAGAAAAAATTGCAGGTAATTTGAGAATGTGGAAAGCGGAGCAAAAAACTCTAGATCTTTTTATGATAGATGGAGTAAACATTGAAAATAATACATTATCGTATGTTTTAAATGGAACAACCGTTTCTTTGAGCAATTTTTTTTTTTGAGACCATTCTCATAAAAACGTGATGGCCTTATGGCCTTGTAAGTTCTAACAAAAAGCGAAATATGTCGCAAAACCATTCAGTTCGATCCATAAACTGAAATTATAATTTATAATTGATAGTTACATTTTCTTTTGTCAACGTGTGAATGAGTTTACAAGAGAAGGAAAGATGTGTTTTATTTAAATCGCTTTAAAATGGAAGAAAAAGTGCAACTTTTGGCTTGAATTGCAGCATTTCATGAATAATTCATACGCATTGTGATTCAGTTTCGCCATTCATATTTACTTCTTATTGCCCAAAAATGTCTCTTCGTGACAGGCTTCCGATTTTATAAAATTATTATAAATTAGTGATGAACTATAGTTTCATCAAATGAAATTTAAATATGTGGCCGGATGCAATGAATATATAAATAGCGTTCAATATTAATTGCATGCATTTAGAATTAAGATTAAAGTACAAGAAATAATCGTTGAACAAGTTACATTTGAGCATATGGTGCACTTTCATGGGTTTCCTTAAGATTGAAACTACTTAATCTTATTAAGGTTTCGATTTTGAAATTCGATTTTATTTTTCTCGTTTTATCACATTGCATTCTAAATATAGAATATGTCAAACACACCCCAAGCAATGAATTTCTATTCTGAGTCTAAGAAACATATGCCAAAAAAATAAGAAGAAAGAAAAAACACGTTATCCATTTTGAAAAGTATACTACGTGTTACGAGCCAGGTTATTGTGTAAATTTCTCTCAGCACGTTGCACAGCCACGTGCCTCATTGTATTGCAAAAATATAAATTAGAAAATTCTCTATCGCGGTAAGAATTCTATCTATCACACGTACACACTTTCTCTCCACCCAAATTGATTGGTTAATAATAAGAATGCTATTTTACCTAGAGTTGGTTTCATTTAATATGTTATGTAGGTGTTTTCGTTAATCATAAATTGTGAGGTATCATTATAAAAAAAACAACAATCAATCAAATTACATAAATTTTCCATTCTCTATAAATAATAATTAATGCGTTGATATTTGGCTTGTTTAGATATTTTAATGAAAAACGAATTGAGAGAAACGTTGGCCAGCCACTGTATGTATGAAGCCGTTAATCGAAAATCAACATTATTCAGTGAAATCACGGAAAAAATGTATTCCAGTCATCTGAAAATCGATAGTACATTCTCTGCTTTAGGAAAATCAGTTGGTGATGATTATAATGTGTCCGATCAGGCATTGGACGCACTCAACGAAATCTATTGTAAGCTAACATGTGAAGATCAAACGTTGCGAACGTTTCGTCGTGCACTTGGATTGGGACACTATGTGCAAAATGATTTGATACCATTTCTGGTGAATGTTAAGGATCCCAAACTGATCGATATAATGATTCGAATAATGGTGAATTTAACGATGCCAGTCGAATGTTTATTCTCAACAAAAGTAATGATGCGCACCGAAATTGGTCGTCACACTGTATCTGATTTAACAATGCTATTGTCTAGTTGCAAAGAATCGTTTACAGATGCTCGTGCAATACGTGCTGTCGTCGAGTATATGAAAAATGTTATTGATAATGGAAATAAATTGCCATTCGAACATTGTGATAGAATCAATAATTGCCTTGTATTGCTGCGCAATATTCTGCACATTCCAGAGAATGCCAATCAAAACGAACGAAAAACCCATACAGTATCAATGCAAAATAAAATCATTTGGCATTTATTCATGATGAGCATTGACAAGCTACTGCTATTTTTAATGTCATGTTCACAACGTGATTTTTGGAGTGTGACCATGGTACAATTGATTTCGGTTATGTATAAGGATCAACAGGCAAGCACATTGCAAAAATTGCTAAATGTGTGGCTAGAAGATGCTCTATCAGACAGTTCAGATGATTTTGAAAGCAACACAACACCACCACAAAAGGAGAACAGCGGCGAATCGAGTCCAGTGCTTACGTCAGATCCAACGTCTGATTCATCGGATAATGGAGGTAATGAATATTCGATTTCCGTTTAATTTTGAAATAAAATTTTATTATTACCTTTCAATTTAAAGGTGGAAACGGGAAAAATGTAGACAAATCGAGCGAAATGACTCGTCGTAGTCAGGCGAATGTGAAAAGTGTTGAGGCGGCACTGAATTTACAGTCTCAACAGACCATGGAACAGAGTGAGAACATAGACGAATCAACAACACAGACATTGACTGAAGAACAAGATGACAATGACGCCAAACCAATTGAAGAGCAAAGCGAACAATCACCATGGGTATGAATTACACTTAATCGAGTCATATGCTTCATAGCGCCTCTAAATTTGAATATAATAAAAAATATGAAAGGTAAATGTAATTTCTAAAAAAAATGTCTTTTTCATCTCTTTCGAATAATCGAACAAAACAGATTAATCACACTGGCCCATCTGAATCACCTTTGACTGTATCAAACAACAAAAAATTAGCAACAATCGTTGAAAACGTTGAAAAACGTCCTAAATATCCATCGATACAGGATCAATCGGCCAGTGATTGTGGATATGGAACCCACCCTGAATCGAGTTCGATTACAAGCAGTGAAGATCAGCCGAGTAAAAATGTTCATCAGAAGCCACAACGTTTTCATGTGGTTAAAAAACCATGCAAAGTTTTATCAGTGCAAGAGCAGAAGAAGAAGAAGCTTGTTAAGCGTAGCAAAAGCAGCCTGTAAGCGTTAGGTTTCACTTGAATGCCTATATGTTGTAATTTTCAAAAAAATTGAATTTTCTTTTTCGCGTTTCAGTATAAATATGAAAGGTCTCGTTCATCATACACCAACCGATGAAGATATTTCAAACATCTTAAAAGAATTCACTGTGGATTTTCTATTGAAAGGCTATGGTCATTTGATGCAAGAATTATATGCAAAACTTTTGTCCGATTCAGATATGGTAACCGATTATTTAAGACAAATTCATTCTAGTGTCAGTATGAAATACGTTTATGTTTTCTTTTCTTCATTCAGCAAGCACATATTGATACTTCACATTTTTTCTGGTTGGTGACGTATTTTCTAAAATTTGCGGCTCAACTTGAATTAGATTTAGAGCACATAAAATGCGTTTTGTCATATAAAATTGTTAGCTATCTAACGTATGAGGCGGTTATTTTATACGAACAACTGGAGCTCACGTCACGTCATTATGAAATCGACCTGGAAGCAAGTTTGCGTCGAATGCATTTGGTCGTAACTGCCATAAGGGAATTCTTACAAGCGCTTAATACCTACACAAATATCGGTCATTTAAGTGCTAATGACGTCAAACAGCTTCGAATGTTGCAGCTACAAATCAGTCTTACTGAAGATTTGAAACAATTATTCATTCTTTTAATTCGAAACTATAAGCCATCGATTCAAAGTAAACAGTATCTACAAGATTTAATCGTCACAAATCACATATTGCTGTTAATACCGGATTCATTTGGAGATGCCGAAGATCGAAAAACCAAATCCAAATTGAAAGAGCATATTCAACAGTAGGTTTAAGTCTTAAAATAATTGTAGCATCGTTTTGAATGAATTTTTTGTTGTTGCAGATTTGCAACCGTCGAGATGATGCAGCAGTATGGCATTCTTTTGGAAGGATTTTTGGAAAATGGCGAATTCGTAAATGATTGCATTCTCACGATGATGTATCATGTGGGTGGTGAAATTGGAGCCGTCACGGCTCTATTTTTACCAATCATATTGAAAACATTTTCGAAAATTTGGGAAACCGAATACGAATTATGTGACGTGAGTTGAGTTTTCTGTTAATTTTTTATAATAAATAAAAAAAAAAAATGTTGGCTAATATTTTTCGGGAATACCGCAGGATTGGTCTGACCTAATATTTTATGTAATGACAAAATTTATAAGTACACCTCAGAAACCACCACTAAATTTATCTGCTGCAGCCGCACCATCGCTTATCGTTGAAAATCATCTCGAACAGCTGAATGAAAAAAGTTTATGGTAAGAGATTGAAAATTTAACTTGAGCTCTTTGATTCGAGAATAAAATGACACTTTTTCAGTAATTGGAGTAAAGAAGAATGTGACGTGCTCTATTGGTATTATGAGGAGAGTAAATCATTTCCAGATTTGATTGGGCAAATGGTGAAACGTTTCCAAGATAGTAATTTCAAGCCAAAATATCGTATAGATGTTATACAACAGCTTTTGCAACAGGTGAATTTTAAATTGATTTCAAGTATTTTTAACAGCTTCAGTGGTTTAACGAAACATTTTTTTCTCTCGACAGGATATAATAAATCGAATGGAATTTAATGCACTAATGAAATATGAGAATGACGAATTTGAGCGAAATTTTCAAGTGAAACCAAATGTACGATCGTCAAATGAACCAAATACTTCAATTGGTAATTCCGTTCGATCACATCAACAAGCTGAAAAGTCGCGAGACGACATTCAAGTATGTACTCTTTTTTTTATTACAAAATTCAACCAATATTGACTTTCTTTGATAAATGTTCAAACACAGATTCTGAAGGAGCGATTGCAGCGTGAGAATAAGGGAAATCATATAATCTGGCTGCAACGTATTTTAATCGAATATTGTTTTGCTAAATTATGCTTTTTGAAAAATCAATTTGTTGTTAAAAATTGTGACGAAGTGACAATTATTGAACCTGTTCCGCATCATTGCATTCGTTAGTTTAACCATTACATTTGATCGATTTTTATTAATTTTGAAACTAACATTTCTCATTTTTAGTTAAAAAACAATCAGTTCCAGTCGTTCCATATAGCATTGAACAAACAAATATTCTTTCCTACGAACCGTTTATACTATTATTACATGGGCTGGGATTGCATTTGCCCGTCGATGCTGGTAAACTTTTTGTCCGAATTCCAGAATTTTGGACAGCTGATATTTTATACAGTGTTGCTGAAAAACTTGGTCCAATCGATAACAGTAAATATTCTCTTTTAGCTCAATTAAATTGGTGTGAAGTAATTTATAAATTTAAATTTTCAATTAGCGGCTCTTAAATTTGACGTGAATGAATTGAGGGTGAAGTCAGCTCAGTTTACAATGCATGCATCGATAAATCATGAAGAGAAAATTGATAAAAATGGTGATGTATTCACCACAAATGGCGATTTAAATTTTGCACTACCAACAAATATTCTCAATACAAGCTCGATTTTAAAGTAAGTATTCATTTAATCAATTCAATTGTAAAAGATGGGTTTAATACCAAATCTATTGATTTACAGTCGCCAAATTCATACCAGCCGATCAAATGCAAGCCGCAATGTGACAAGTACCAATGGTTTTTCCGGATTCACCGATCATTTAACTAAATCATCATCAACAACATCAACACTTCAACAGCATAATCCTGACATGTAAGCAAACGTCTTCCGCATTTACCACATTCCATTGACATATATCCATTTCACCTGTTCAGTGGTTTGCCTATATTGATTGTTTTGCCGACATTTTATTTTTCAAATGCTTATGTTTGTTTTTTAATATGAAAACTCCAACTTTTTTCATGCAAATAGCATTTTCTTATTGAAAATCGTTTCATTCAAACAAAAAATCGTTTGAAAATTCGATGAAATAAAAAAAAAACGGTTGAGATAGAGATCTAGCAGATGGGAATGAGGCAGGATTTTCAGCCATATTTTGTACAAATCACGGTTTGTTTTCCATGCGCTCATCATACACAAATCCAATCGCATTCGGGCTTGATGAGTGGATCGGTATTTTGTGGCATAATGTATATATGTGTGTTTTGAATGGACCAATGAGTCGATCGGTCCCAATTGAATCTGAATTTGGAGAAATGTTTTGAAAAAAAGAGATATAATTATGAATGACGTGACTCCAATTTCCTCTTATCGTGGCCACCAACACACGGGTAGATATCTATTGGTTTACAACTAGTATTCATTCATAACTGTTGTTACTGCATACAGGTATTTTACCTTCTGTCCGTGTTTATTCTACCATTTTTTCTAAAACTTTGCGTAGTTTATTTGCTTGATTTTTACGCTAATATCTCATTACTGATTTACAAAGTAATAACTGAGCTAATTTTCTCTAATTGTAATACACAAGAAACCATATAGTTTTCATTTCAGTTTTGTAGAGCGTTGGTTCGTTTTTTTTTTGGTAAAAAAAACAAATTGTGATTTCTTCATTTTTATTTCTTGAAAATCAAAATAAAAGAATTCTCATTTTTTTCATAATAACAATATACTTAATTGATACGGATGGATGTTGAGCACTCAGCTATAAAATTCATACGCTCATTTTGTTTTCTTGTTAATTTTTTTGTGCGTGTGGCGAATACTATTCGCAGGTGTTTGCATTTTTCCAGTTCTGTATCCATTTCGATTGCATCAAATGCAATTTCCATTGTTCAGTCGAGTAAGGTGAGCGTATCGAGCGATTGCGCCAATGTTAATAAAGATTCCGTCAAAATGGACATCGATACAGACTCATCAGTTACCTTCCGAGCTGGTACATCTTTGGAATTGAATGACGGGAAAAAAGATGATCCAAATAAAATTAGGTAATTAGATTAGAAGCATTTACTATTTTCTATTTTTTTTTGCATTTTCTTTTTTGATAAAAGAGGAAAGTAATGTTAATTTTTTTTAATATTTGCAGTTCACAGGCGTCAAAATCACTTAGGTCGAAATGCTATGAAACAAATGGTGAACATGCCAATTAAATCAATTCCCATCAGTAGTAACTATAAACTCTATAAAAAAATGTACGACTTAAGACAAATCTATCGATGAGTTTAAAATAATCAAGACAATTTGAAATTGTGAAAATCACAGATAAATAGAGTCTATGAAGTAATATCTCGATAAATAAGGCACATATAGAATGAAAAGGTTCAGATAAGCAACCATTATTTTTAAGTTTAAAACACAATATCAGTTTGAGTATAAAATAATTTTATAATGTGAAAAGATTTATCTTAATTTTTATTTGATTAAGTTTCAATTATAATGCAAACAAAACTGAACTCAAATATAAACCAGATCACTTTTTTAAAGGGAACAAAAATTAATTTTTCTCATCAATTAAAACTTCTTTCGGATAGGAAATAGGTTAACATTTTCTTTAACTGTTAAGACTCATATACTCTTTGAATTTCAAGATCATTTAGTTTTTCGTTATTTTTTTTTACTTCATTTAATTATTATATGTGTTGAAATTCGCTTATTTTAAATTTGCCAACCATGAAGTTTTAACCTACAATTGATAAATTGTACGAAAGGCACCAACCGTTTAAGTGAATTTAATTGGTGTAAAGAATGTTGAACTATGTTGAATGTATTAAAATATTGACTAAAAAATTGCCGGACAAATGTGTAAAATATCATTAAGTATATGAGATTCTACATAAGAAAAACATAAAAATTACATCATTCGCAATAGCATAAATCCATTGGATAATTGAACCGCCTAGAATAAATCAGCATTACTAGATAAATGTCTTCAAATGCGTTATATAAAAAAGTTCGCCAACAAAAGCGTGACATCGTCCATATATTTTATAACGCTTTTGCTGACTAACTTTTTTCAGTAACGCATTTGAAGACATTTATCTAGTAATGTTGATTTATTCTAAGGGATTCAATTGAAAATTATCGGTTTGCCAATTTTATCTTTAACTCACCATCAGAAATGCATTTCAATCTTGACGAAAAATTGATAAATAAAAGTTAAATTTGGGAAATAATTAGTTTAAGTTTTGATGTTAATACTTAACAGCTCTCAAACAAAATTTCACCAATCAAAATCGGAAAATGATGACATGAATTTAATGTTGTATGGTCATTGTATGCTGAAAACTCTAGTGAAAACCTTATTGATTGACTCAAAATTAATAATATTGACTAAAATATATAAATCTAATGATAATCTCAATGTCAAGGAACCAATAAAGCGTCATTTCGTATAGTGTACAAATCAATTTGGTTTATGATTTTTGTTTTATTGAAATGGGCAGAACATTTAGTTGAAACGCAAAGTTCGAGTTGTTCCCAAGAAAAGTGTCCAAAAGCGATCGATGTAAAGTAATTGAACTGGTTTGTTGTTGCACAGGTTTTTGAAATCCCTGCTTTTGGTTTGTATACAGTTCGGTATAGAGAGAGAGAGGCACATTCATGTCTGAATTCGGGTCAAACCGTCTTATTTGCTATTCAGCTCGTTCGGTTACATAATGGAATTAACATTAACACTGGATCGATTGGAATTGTTGGATGACAAAGTTGCTTGAAATGCAGGGCCACTTACAGAATTGATTTTATTTCGGCTGCAGCAAAATGGCAAATATTCTTCTTTGTGATTTGTTGTTGTTTCACAAAATGTTTGAACCTTTATGCGCCTTTATGGTACTTCGTCGTTTATGTTTGCATGTTGCTAAGGAAAAAAAAACTTCGTGTAAAATAGCAACTCTTTGATCATATCTAATATCGTACATGAATTCATGCGAGTAATTTTTCGCAAAAAAAACTGAATCTTGAGTGCGGTACGTGCGGCCTGCAAGCATTTAAGCGCTCGCAGAAAGAATTTATCTAATTCATATCAAAGAAAATACTTTCGAAGTTTCGTAACTCTCATCGCTCGAGCGAAAGATCCCAGTGTGTGCGCACGTTAATTTGCGATAAATCTACACACGTGCAAGGCCAAGGAGTACCAATTATCATGCAAACGCGATGTGTTAAAAGGCTATAAAAGATCATATGCACCCATTATTTCGATTGCAAGTAGTTATTGTCGAATTTGATCAATTGGCTTAAATGCTTATTAATTTTTTTTTGTGCGCACGCTGTTGAAAGTGGTTCGAAACGACCAAGAATTTTCAACTCTCATCATTATGAATGCGCATACAAAGTCTATAGATATATCTATATCATCGGCACAAATATGAAATAATAATAAGCAAACGTAAAACGGCATGCATTCCCGTGGATGTTTGTTCATTTATAGCATTTTACAATTGTAACGAAATTCGATGCCATTGAACGCGAGAATAGCAGGTAATATTTAATAAAAATCGATTATAAAATACTCGGCATGGAGCATTATGGTTTGTTTTCGATTTTGTTCCTGTTGCTGTTCGAACATCGAATTATGGCCAATATATTCCACGAAAAGAATGCATATCGTGATCAATGATCATACAAGTGCAATGCAAACATATGAGAATCGGGTGAATGTTCCAAATAATACTCTCCACCTGAATATCAGTATGTGTCATGGTGGCAACATTTTTCTTGAGTCAATTTTTCAGTCAGTCATCATTTGAGTTGGTGCTATATGGCTCAATTCACTATATACCATTTGCGTTCGAGTAAAATCAAGACCTTAAACTCGGATTTAACACAACGCTTGTCGGCTCTGTCACCACCAGAGTCAAATATACACACAGGGAAATAATGTATAGATTATCGGTAAAAATGATTTTTTTTCTTAAGCGTTGTTTGCATGATAGACCAAGAGCCACTCTAACAAGTAACTTTTTTTTGCTTTATGTCAGAAAACTATATTGAACCATACAGCTAGACATACACTAAACAAATAATTTTACATCTGCCATTACAGCCACCCACTTCGCGAAATCTGCACTATTATTCGCGGATAGAAAACACATCAATTAATAAAGCGAGCTGCATGTTTGATTTTCTGGAATACATTTTGTTTTTGCTCAAAGATTCTTCGATTAAAATTTCTGTATGAAATTCCGCATTGTTTACAAAATCTGCATGAATGAATTATGTAAAAAAAAACTATCAACTTTTTTGTCAGCTTTATGTCTGAAATTTTAAACATCGATTTTTTATCATGAAATAACACTAAATTATAAAAATCTGCACTTAAATACACATATTTATTGTTTTCTGCATAAACAAAATTACATGTTTGTATATATTGAAAACACTCAATATGACACATTGAACGCACTCATTTAAGCTGTCAAGCAACATTCCCATATATATATTTCTTTTTTTAACAAATAAATTTTTGTTGAGATATCTTAACTTTTGTATAGATTTAGGAAAAAAAATCATTTTTACTGATAATCTATACATTATTTTCCTGTGTGTAATAAATGTCATTCTTATATTTCTTTAAATCTCTTTTTTTTCTCTATACAATTGATATTTTCAAAACAATTGTGGTTTTTGTCTGTTGGAATCAGATGGCGAAAATTGTGTCATGTTTTCACGAAATTTGTTTTTCTTAGTTGCACTGTTTGACCACTGTTTTGAGAACTTAGAATATAATCAAATCGATTACGGTGATTATGATCAGATATAGAGTTTTTTTTGTTAATTTTAGGGCGTATTGCTATACTGGAACACACACTCACTTAGAAAAAAAAGTGCATTATCTGATCATTGACTTCTGAACTCAAAGCAAATTAACTGAGCACTGTTTATGTACATTAGAGTGTTTCCCGTACCAACAAATAAAAAAATGGTATTTCTTAATTCAAAGAAGGCAAAATTCTATGTTAGTAAATGGCATTCATATAACGAAGCGATTGATTTTAGCACTTCCCGAAACGAAAACATATCTGAAAATATAGTTGATTAGAATTTGAAGTACAATTCTCTTTGCTGTTTGCACGTATATCGACACTGTTCGCTTTGATAGAATATTGTTGCGATTCTTTAGAATTCGATAAATAAACAAAAGAAAGTATTTATATTCAACGCATTTTCAAAATCGTGTTGTTCGCTGTGTCAGCCGTTTTTTTGGCCTGTAAAATCATTTTATGATTTGAACCAAGCAGTCCATACAACACATACACATTTATATCGATCGCGATAGGCTAATAATAATAATCATTCCGTTTCTTTTGCTCTTAAGTGTTTACATACAAACTGTGATTCCGTTTATTGGTTCCGTACCATACATTCTTATTCAAACGCTTTATAAACAAAAAATGTGTGCAATATAAGAATGCTTCCGACACAGAACCATCGGAATGTGGAGAAGTGTGTTGGTTCAAATGAAACGATCGTGTTGAAACTTGTCAGAATCAATGTTTTTTTTATTTGAATTTGCATCGTCATAATTTCATTGGATTCGATTGATAAAAGTGCTAAAACATATTTTTGGATTGTGTCAGTGTATGTTATATTTGTTTCTTGCTTTCAAAGAAGTTTATTTTCCGCTGTAGGCGGTTTTCTATTGGAATCATTGTCAACCGATTGTTTTCAAACGAGATATTTGCGGTGAATTTTGTGTTTGATTTTGTTTAGTTTTGATAATAACATAACATTCACAAGCTGAAACTGCAAATATTTTGATTCAACTTTGGACCGTGTTGGTGTGGTTTGCATTTATATGTTGCATTCAAAAGAGTTAATATCACTCAATTTGTCGATTTTGAATCACTTCACGCTTAACATTCAATCAGGTAACATCAAGTGTCAGTTTTGTCCCCATATATTCAGTGCTTCCTATTGATTCAATTCATTTACAAAAATTACACAGTGCAGAAAATATATTTGTCATTTTATTTGTGTTCTAAATTGCGCGTGTGTTTTTTTTTATATTTCGTTTTAGTTCAACATGTCAACGACTGGTGAAACTACGGCTGCTACAGCGCCAAGAAAAAAGCGATACAAATTTCAAACGAATGCGCAAAAAGAAAAGGATGCTGATGATGATGTAAACGATAATGGATTGTTCGCGATTAAAATGCGCCTCAACACAATTTTATGACCAGAGTTCAATCACATTGTCAAACCGTGGATCGAACAGAAAAGCATAATGTCAACGAAAATCACCGTTTTGGCATCATTACTTTTCTTGGATAAAGTGAAATCGGCACAAATGAATCGACAGTGGGAGTTTTTTAAAAACCGAACGTATCCGGCCAAAAAAGGAAAGAAGAAAGGACAGCTCGTTGAAAAGAATCGTGGCGAAGAAGTGATTGAGCAATGTTTCTATGCCGTCTTGCAAAAAAACAAAGAAGGTGAGAATATGGAGCCACATTTCCGTCAGTTTGTCGAAGAGCTCAGTCCAGAAAATAATTTCGCCTGGCCCAAGAACGATTATTTTGGTAATCATTTTAAAACGCTGTGCCAAAATCACACGCGATGCTTGAAAACCGGTCAAACGACACACTGCAAGAAGAAGTTGAAAAATTATCTGCGAATGCGAGCGTGGCAATTCAACGCAGTGTCTACCGGTTGGAAATTCGACAAGAAGGACATTGACAATGCAGTCGATTTGATGATTCGAGGCTACAATGCGATCCGTGACACTCATCAAAATGCAGATTTCAAACGACACAAGCGAACATTACTTACTGGCATGGTTACTGCAATTGTGCGAGAAGTTGGTGGCCCAACCAATGATCACAACATCAAGGATTTTTCAAAAGGCGATTATTGGTTCAAAGCAACTGCAATGTGGCTCGTTATGCAGACAGAAATCGATGAGTGGCACAATTGGGCGCAAGATAACAATGTGAAGATACCAAATATCAAAAATCTCTCGGTTGTTCCATTGCCTGATTATCAACGAAAGGCAGTGTTCATGTGCAATGATGTCTTCTATCGAATGCTGGCCGAATCGAAACAACTTCCACAAGTTGATGGTAGACAAGCAACCGAAAGTTACATTCGCCAGAACAAAGAATTCTATTGGAATCAAGTATTCGATTTAACGACCATCAATCGAAAACTGAAGAAAAACAAAGAATTCCATTATACCATCGTCAGCAACGGTGAATCTGTGTCGATTATGTATCGCATGTCAAAGCAATACGAGCAACAGATGCAGAATGATGATATTCTTCGAAAGCAATTCATCGGCGGAAAATTTGCTTACGAACTGGGAATCGATCCAGGCATGAAAACATGGAATGCCACAGTTCGTCGAAATATCGAAACAAAGAAAGAAGTGAGTGTTTAAATTTTTGGCATTATTGAGAAATAGAAAGTGATACAGTTACGTGAATAATTTTTTTCTTCACTTTTCCATTTCAGGTCAACATGAAAACGTCCAGTAAGAAGTACCATTGGCTGGCAAAGCAGAAGACGCGCGATGTAAAGGCAAAACGATGGACGAAGCAGTTCACCCAAGAGGAGCAGGACGATCGAAATAATCGACAATTGTATCAGCGAATGCCATCACCACTGGGCATACTCTGGATTGATTACGTTCATCATCGTATCAAAATGCTCAAGAAAGGAATGGCCGTGTATACAACACCGAAATACACGCTGTTGCAGTTTGACAAGTACGTCGAATCGAATCGAACCGTTGATAAACTCACTGGGAATTTGGTCAATCATAAAGCCGCAATTATTCACATGGGAAATGCAGAAATATCACCAAACTCGTGCATTCGAATCAAAAAGCATGTGAGAGCTCCAGGTACGCGCAAACTACTCAAAGGCTTTCGAAAACGTCGCAATTGTCGTGTGCGCAAAACAGATGAGTGGGGTACATCGCAGCATTGTGCAAAGTGTGGGCGACGATTTAATCCAGCCACAAGGAGCCATCGATTCAAAGTGTGTGAAAATTGTGGAGCGGAGCCCGATTCAATTTTCGCCGAATATTTACCATCAAAAATCGTAGCACAGCGCAGCAAACGGCAATTGAGGTACAACAAAGATGTCGTTGAACTTTATTTGATGCGATTTTGGGCAGAAGGACTCATGACTGAGCAAGAATTCGATATTGCTGCTGAACGTTTACTGTCTAAGGTGGCCGTGTATCCAAAAAATTGGCAAGTAAACACAGTGAGTGGTAAATTGGAATATGCTCAAGTCAATGCTGATGCACCGTATGCAACTGTTCAACAGCCATATGCAGTCGATGATGAAAATGAATTGGAAATCAAAGACGAGCAACTACTAATGGCTGTACACAAGACATCTTGGGATCGTGATATCGTCGCCGCCAAATGCATTCTCATCAAAGGTATGTGTATTAGAAATTTGCATTTGCATATATTCTACATATTAAATGAAATGCACACTATTTGAATGATCTATTTTAGCGCTCGATGATAATAGACCAAGAGCCACCGTGCAAATTACTTTTTTTTCTGTGTACGGCAGATTTTCATGAAATTATCATCTTCACACTGTGTACTGTCCGAATAATATCACTTTTTTCATTGTAATTGGGCGGATCGCGAGATCCGCGGTTTTATTCGCGCTACACGAAATAGTATACTTTTTTTGCACCAATACGGCAGATTTTTGTGTTAAATTCTTTGTTTTGATCCAGCTATATTGAAAAGTAAAAAATCTGCCCAAATGAGTGGGCAAATTGTTCAAAAACCAACAAAATAAACAATAATATTGATGAATTTGACACAAGGTATTGAACGCACCCATTGTATCAACTGACATTTGTGTTTCGTTGAGTAATGGTAGTGTCATATTATTGTTTATTTTGTTGTTTTTTGAACAATTTGCCCACTCATTTGGGCAGATTTTTTACTTTTCAATATAGTTGGATCAAAACGAAGAATTTAACACAAAAATCTGCCGTATTAGTGCGAAAAAAGTATACTATTTCGTGTAGCGCGAATAAAACCGCGGATCTCGCGATCCGCCCAATTACAATGAAAAAAGTGATATTATTCGGACAGTACACAGTGTGAAGATGATAATTTCATGAAAATCTGCCGTACACAGAAAAAAAAGTAATTTGCACGGTGGCTCTTGGTCTATAAATATGTATGCAATATTTAATGACATTGAGAAAATATTTTTTTAATAAAAAAATAAATTTCTGTTGAGATATCTAAACATTTGTATAGATTTAAGAAAAAAAAATCATTTCTGCCAATAATCTATACATTATTTCCGTGTGTGTGTGTTTACTTTTGAATAGGACATTGTGAGCTGTTTGGATGGGATATTCCGGCAGGATTAGACAGACGATCACCGCGACAGCCAGCAGTTCAACCGAATCAGCAGCCTTAAGCATCACTAATCACCATTCGTACTCGAAAATTAATCAAAAATTAATATTGTAATTTGTTACATTAACTGAGACTGACTGTTGTGTCTCAGCATTTCGAGGAAGTACTTCTAGGTGTTTTTTTCTGTAAGTATTCTTCACTATGAGATTGTATTCATATAATGGAGTGATTGATATTCATATTCAGAGGCAACAATCGTTTTTCGCTTCGGGAAGTGTTGATATAAATCGCTTTGTTGTATCGATGCTACTAACCAGCATAGAATTTTGTCTACTTTCAATTAAAAAATGCCATTTTTCTATTTACAGATATGGGAAACACCCTAATGTACATACAAGCGAGCGCCAACTCAGTCGAACCACACCGTCAGTCAATCAAGTGCAAAAAGTGCCCGAAAGCTTAACTCACTGAAAACAAAAAAATCTCTCATTGTTAGTTTTTGCGTTTACATTCATCAAATGTGATTAACAATAATCACAAAGTGGCCCGTGTTAAATGTGAGCTTACGATTTAACACACAACATCGAAATATTTTCTACAAGAGAACATAATTACTAGTTGACATGTCACGCTTTTATGTTGATTTTTCAATAAATAGATTACTTTTCTTGATACCGGCTCAGTGACGACGGTATTTACGATATTTTTTACATTGATTTCCTTTTCTTCACATTTCCAAGCGATCGCTTGTGCAAATTTAAACCAAATGAGACAACACAATACTATGGTATTAGCCATTTACAAATCAAACAAAGTCATAAACATCAAATCAGTTGTGGCCGCCTCTATATGCATTTGAAATGCAAGAGAGTTAACAGCATGCACAATAAGCCGAATTGAAGCAGCGTGCTTAACGAACCGTGTGAGATCGCGGAGTACTATATCTAACATCATTTGACTCTGGGTATACATGAATTGGCGTGCGCGCGCGTGTTGAATTGATGGATACATTTTTTGAAATCGATTTTTATTTTCTTTTGCGAGAAAAAAAGAGCGGTGCCGGTGTGGTATATGTTGCCTCCTTTTTGATCGCTTTCGATTCGGTTCGAAAGGTTAAATGTGTTCGATGTTTTCATGACATTTTCAACTACGTAACTTAAATAGCATCTCATGTCATCTTAATTAATCGAAATGGCAATAAAATCGAATTTGCTTAAGACATTCAACGGCAAATATTAATAACAGCTGTTTATGTGATAAGATTGGAGCGCAAAGTGTCAGCTCATTAATAAAACCAGATTTGTATTGCTGCAGTTATTTCGTATTTGAGAGGAAATCGTAACCTTTTCTGGCAAATTGAAGTTATGAGATCAAAATGAAGCAATTGAGTTTATTTTTTCAATTTTAAATGCTACATTTTACTTTTCAATAAAATATGTAACCATATTGCCCACAAAAAACAATGTATATGTTGAATGATCGAGCGATTTCGTCATTTTATGTGTGTCGAAGGAAGAAGAAGATAGTGATTTTGGAGACGAAAAAAAAAAAAAACTTGCACATACTAAAAATGTACAAATGCAATTAAACGGCAATTTGTTGATTGAGCACGAATTAAAATGGTTAACCACAATTTGAAATTTTACCACCAAATCGGCACAATAAATCAATAAAACACCTTTATTTGGATAAAAATTCTGAAATTTTTTATGTTTGTGTCAGTCGATTTCCAAAATAAGCACTTGAACACAACGAACTATGTTCTTTGATTTATTATGATTTCTCGTTCTTTACTGACCAATAACACATAAGGAGTAATTTTTTTTTAAATTTCAATCGACCGTTCAGCTGAAGTGGAAAAATGAGATCGAGATTTGGAGTTTTTGAGATAAATCAATTGTTTACAATGCTGATGGATATTAACCGAGCAATAAACGTCGAGTTTTGGTGATAAAAATCAGCTACTTTGAATGAACTGAACAACATACCCGAGTTACAATTAAATGTACATATAGATGGCAACGATCGAGAGTGAAACCATACTTATGTGAATGTGAACAATAGATGAGATTTCTTATCGAAATACATATGTTTTATGTTGAATCATGTATCGTTTCGAATTGCGGCCGTTTCTTTTTTCGGCAGCGAGTGAAATTGAAAGTCAACATTAATTAGGTGGTTTTGTGAACGATAAAATTTTGAATCATAAGAGTTTTGAATCATGCTAAAAAAATGTACTACATTATGAAATTTACGGGGAAACGGTGACGGTATAAATCAATTATTCCAATTCAATCAACGAGACTAAAAATAGAATATGATCTTTTGGTGTTTTGGCACGTCATTACATTTGAATTAAATGTCTTGAGCAGCAAACATTTTGAGTCTATAAATCATAACAACAAAAGATGCTAACTCGAGTAACACATACACCGCAATTTGAATGTCTAATAAATCCATTTGTCTGCATATTTGCTACCAGACATTTTAAACGGACCAGTCTCCGATGCAACGCAGATAATGGAGTAATTACGAACCCGTTTCTCTCTCTCGCTCGCTCTTTTTTTCAAGAAGCCAATTGAATATGGAATAAACAAACAGAGAAATCCGATTTAAATACGGAGCAAAGCAAAAAAAATAATATAATTTTTTGTTCACCTTTACCCAGTACACTGAAGAGGTAGAGAAACATATTCACTCTCAGATCCATTTACACTGAGCAGGCGAGCGACACAAAAAAATAAACTCACCGTGTACGCTTTTACGCGCCTAGTAAACATTACAAGTCATGTACCTACACAATGTAATCTGATGCAGTCTACGAAGCCAAACGAAGGCGCGCTCACAGTTGAACTAAAAAAAAGTACACACGCGCTCTTATAAAAGACGGCTCCATTCCTACAAATCACTTCAGTCAAGCTCTTGTCCTAAAGCCGTTTAGTAATCGCACATCGGTGGTGAACCTGATGCGGCCACAGTTCGCGCGTGAACTTTAAATAATTCAGCATCACACATTTTCGAACGGTGATCAAGAAGAATAACGATGCCAGTTTTTGGTGTGCACTAAAACACATTTAAACGAGTTTATTCAATTAAAGTTTCTTTTGTTCGATAGAACTTTTATTAAAACATGGCAATTCAATCGGTACGTAAATATTCTAAATTATGATTGCAGACATATAGTTACCTTCTTTTTATTAATTCGCAAAGACTACCTATAATCGATGTCATTAGTGTCAGTTCGTCAAGTAGTTCCATCGAAATTTAAATTTTTGGCAATTTGAAGTGTACATGTGAAATTTTGAGAGAAAGTTAAATAATAAAATGAAGAAATGATTTGAATCGTGTGAATCGATTGCATATCAAGCATGTAATGGTGACAGCAGTAAAATCAGAATGTGTTGACATATTTCGAGCAAATTAAAATAAACCTCCATATTTGTCCCCATTTAGAAACCATAGAAAATCAAATTAATCTTAATTATTGTTTCTTGTGTGTTTAAAAAGACGACCGCAAGTTAAAAAAAATCCGTCATCGATTACGCATTTATGTAATATTTGAATCACGTTTAACAAGTTTCGAATTCGTTGGCTCTCCCGATTTTTGCATTGTGTACGAGTGTTCGGTTGTACCTTTTTTTTCTTGCACGTTCATTATCCGTTTTATGAATCTTGGGCACTGGTGCGAGTGTACGTGCGCCATTTCATTGAAACATATATGTGTTCCATATTTGTCTGCGGTTGTTATGATTTTCCAGTATTTAAATCATGAATTATTTAGCATTTAGCAAACGAACCGAATGAACGAGGAAAAATGACAAACCGAAGAAAAAAATGTTTTTATTTTATTTTACGGAAAAATGGCAAAGATCGTTGAGATACTCATAACGCAATGGATTATTAGGCATAAAATGTGTATCATTTATGTGGCGTGTCACAAAACACACATTTTAGTCGGCAAAGTGGAAAGAAACGAACAAAAAAATGTATGCACGAAAAAAAAGCCACACTGTAAGCATGTCGATAAACATCTAGCATTTGGATACATATATGAACAGTCTACGGCGCGAGAATGAGTAATGCAATGAAATATTTATTGCGACGTTCGTAGACTTCGTCGTCAATACGCAATATATATATATATATGTGTGCACACAATGCCAAAGAAGAGAAAAAAACGCACTCTCTGCGTGCAATTTGGCACTGTTATAGTACAGTGTTTTTTCTGCATTCTCTCTTGTTTAGCGCCCAACCAAGTGCCATTTAGTATAAATATTTATATGCGCTTGTGAAAAGTATTTGAATTTGGATTTGATTGAAATTTTGAATAATATTCAATCGCCGTATATTCAAATTTGAAGTCGAGAATCGAGAGCTGTTTTGTTAATCGACATTTGAAACGCATTATGTTATACATTGTGGATTGGGTAGATTTTCAAAAAAAGAACGATCGCAGTGTGCGCACGTTCGACGCATAAATTCAAATACACTCGTTTATGAACTTAAGTCATTCAAATTATACCAAGAACAGATCGTACGTGAAACACGAATAAATTGTGTAATGAATGGGCCTATGAAGCATTAATTTTAATCGACCATTAACTCGATCCTTCACTATGTAATATTCCACTTGCATTTTATGACGGGTCTGGCCGTAAATATATGAAACTGGATTACACTATAGGAAATAGTAATGCATCTTGGTGTGATATACAACGACAAGCTTTTACACTAATTAAATAAGTATTAGCACCGTTTTCATTTGCACTTATTGCTGTTTGCACATAAAATTGAATGCACGTAGCAGCTTGCTATTGAATTCCGGGTGTGATTGGGTTTTTTTGCGTACCAAATGCAGAAAAAAATATATATGCTTATACGCATATTTTGCGTAGCTCAAACTTGATTGCCATTTTTTTTCGGCATGTGTTTTTTTGTTGAGTTATTTTGCTTTCAATTTCATTCTATTGACCAACTGCAATTTATCTCTGACTTATTTATTTCTATTTTTTTTTTGTTTACAGAATGACATTCTGTGGATATTTGCTGTGGGCGCCGTATGCCATATTAATTTTGTGAATGCAATTCTTTATCAAAATATCGATGTACTACCGTCCGCCAATCCGTTGCCGATTTCATTTTTACACCCGTCAAATAGTCCAGTTTTAGCTGGTTTCACCGATAATAATCTTGTGACAACAAACGATTATCAAAAATTCAATCATTTTGGTTACTATAATCCGCAAACACTTTCAACAATTTATCCAACTGTTAAATCACCAAATGATGTTTTTGATGATTCCTTGTATGGATACTATCACAATGGACGATTTTTGAAACAATATTTTGTATCGGAAGAAAATGTTGATGACATCAATGCATTAAATAGTTTTTTAAGTCGTTTTATGCCCTTCGTTCCGGCCAATTACAATGTTCCTGCATCAAAACTACCAAATTTAGGTTTTCCAACAATTCCAACAATTCCAACATCATCACCAACAGTCGCCATTCAAAACAATCCAATCAACGATTTCTATTCAATAAATTCGGTAAGAGTTGCACCGTTGCCCGTTCAACTGGGATCGGGCTCGTTGGGATATGTTCGTTTGCCGAATGGAGCTGTCTACTTGGGATCAGGCTCACTCGGCTACACAAATGAAAGACTTAAAACAGACGAACTCAACGAAGTACGCAATCGACAAAGTCCACAAGCAAGCCCACTGCATTTTGGTGAAACACCACGATAGAATTCGTTTACTGTGAACAAAACTTATTTATTTATTTCGTTTATTTTTTTTTTTAGTGTCCATAAATAATCCTGATTGAAACTTTTGCATTCCCAAAAGTAAATTCCATGATCGCACATTGTAAGATATAAGATTATCTCGTCAATTTTTCATTAATTTAGTTTTGATGACGAAAATAAAGTTACCTTTGAAATAAAATTGACTTTTCTTCCATTTTTTTCTTCTTTTTTTTTCAAAATTAAACGAATCGAATTTTCTTTCAAAATCTTTGTTGAAAAAAAAAAATAAAGTGATTTTACAGGTTTTTTTAATTTAACAAAGAATTTTAATGAATATTTTTCAAATCTATTCAACCTAAAATTTATTCAACGATATAGATGAATTGTGTGCCAGCATTAAGTATCGCTGATTCGGTTTGTAAAGTGACTTCACTTTTCGCAACATCAACCGAGAAAATACCATCTTCCATGAGTAATTTTCCTTTGAGTGGTTCATTGAAAGTGGGCAACTTCCGTGGACCGAGTACAGTGTCTTCATATCGCCACACTCGCAGAGCGTCCACATCTGGAATGGAGCATATTATTGAAATAAAAATTGGTATCAAGCACAAAAATGGATTATGTCTACTCACCAATTCCGATAATTTTTGCAATTTTATTGGTGAACGATTGTGTGGTGTCTCCATTTGAAATGGTGCTGGTGATAGTGAATAACCCTGATCGGGGAATTGGATTTTCTAAAACAACTTGAACAGCTGGTTTTGCGCTGAATAAAATGTGTGGCTGTCCTGGACATGTGTCTTCACGAACTTTTTCAGGAACACTCTCTTCATCGGTACTATGGATTTCCAGCGACTCAAGCTGCAACAAAATGTTATTTGATGTTAAGAAGAAAAAAAAACAAAAAAAAAATATTTGAATCATTATACTACTTACGTCCAAGGTAATTTTCAAATATTCAAAGTTATTTTGCAGAACTTCAATTTCATTGAAGGTGAGTGTTGTTGCGAGTGCCTTTTTGCCTTCACCACCTTCGACACGTTGACGAATTGCCTGCACGAATGGCATTACTTTCTTCATATATTTCTTGAGAATATCTTTCTTTCCAAGTTGAACGGAGATAATTTTATTATCTGGTAAGCCGTTGTGCTTTTCAAATAGTTCTTTCAATGTATTCAAAATGCATGATTGCCATGGTGGGAAGGTCTTTGCTATCCAAATTGTGCCATTTGTCGGTTTTGGTGCATTTCCTTTTTGCTCTTTGCCACCCTTAACTCTAACTTGAGATGCATGCTTTTGTGCCAAACGGAACGAATGCGCTGCCTCCATCAAATACTCTGAACGTCTACAAAAAAAGTATATTCATTTGAATACACAAACTGATAAAATGGGGGAATGAAAAAAAAAACATACTTAATATCCAATTCAACGATTTCACCAACGGTTGGCCATTTCGCATTTAAAACACTGCCTTCTTTCTTCAACAATGTCCAGATGTGCTCAGCAACATGAGGGCAGATCGGTGAAAGCAACAATGCCTGTCGTTCAATGTACTCAAAGACAAGATCAACGTGCATACCAGCTGCACCGCAAAGTTCACGATATTTATCACGAGCCGTTTGCAATTCAAAGAAACACGTTCTGGAAATAAACATGATATTTTAATAGGAGGTTTTTTTGTATTTTTTTTTTTGTTATCTTACCTAAGACCATCCTTGAATAACATTTTCTCATAATATTCAGCGGTTTCTTTAGTCTTCAAGTTCATTTCGCTGATGAAGACCTTGTCATTGAATGTATCCTTTATTGGTCCTTTACGTAGAAGCATTTTCGATTCAATCATTTCTTGAACCCATCCGATGAATGTGTACAACCGTAAAATGCCAGCATCAGCTGTTGCTTCAACGAAATTTGCATCTTCAATACTATCACCAGCATCGGCCAAACATAGTCGTGTTCCTATTAAAAATAAATAAATACGTAAATAAATTTTTTCTTGGATTTATTTTAGTAATATTGCTGTACCATCGGCACTGAATTTTTGAATTGCCTCAGACAATGTTAGGAAATTTCCATCGGATTTGGACATTTTGGCTGAATTCAACATCAAATGACCGTTGCATCGAATGCTACGCGGCCACAATTCTGGTTCATTTGGCCAAATGGCGGTGTGATTGTAAACGAAAAACGTCAAATGATTTTGAATCAAATCCTTGCCCGACACTCTCAAGTCAACTGGATACCAATATCTAAATTCACGTCGCATCAAATCCAAATGTTCACGTTTAATGGCAGTTTTGGTCGGTAATTTGGCATCATTAAAGAAAATATAATCCCAAACTTCTGCCGTCATTTGTTCCGCTTTAATTCCCAATGGGCTTGGTTTTTCACCCTTGAAACTGCCGCCAAGTAATAAATGAGATACGGTATAGAATGCCATGTAAATTGTTGAGTCTGATAGTGATTCAATCAACCATTTTTCATCCCATGGCAGTTTCGTACCCAAACCATAGGTACGAGAACATGCGTACTCGTGCAACCAATCAAGACAAACGTCAAAATTCTTTTTCACTTCATCGTGATAAAATTCCATATTCTTATATGCAGCACCAGTTTGTGCTTGCCATTTTTCTTCGCCGTACGTCAAATACCATTGATTACAAAGTGCAACGACACACATATCATTTGACCGTGACATAATGGTTTTCTCCGGTTCATAGTAAACATCAGCCTCTTTGCGATCGACCAAATATGTTTTTAAATCTTTTTTAACATCTTGCACCTTTTTGCCTTTGAATTCGCCAACCAACAGTACACCATCATAAAATCCCTTCAAGTAAACCAACTCTTTGGCTGTTTGCAATTTGTCACGATCGTTTTGACTTTGAATTTTAAATTGATTGTATGCGGTGACTGCTGATAGATTGCCCAGTGTTGGCACTTCAATGATTGGGATCGGTTCGAATGGCAATACCATTTCATCTTTAATGCCGTATTTTTCACGGAATGCAGCTTTCTTTTGCAAATCGATCAATGCTGCATAATCATCGGGAGAGTCACTGGGCACGGATGTAACGACACCAGTACCTTTATCTTCTTTCACTGATAACATTGGAAGTGCATAGATTACTTTGTGCGTTGTTAATGGTGAACTCAAACCGATGCCGAATAAATCCGATCCAGTGACTTCAGCGAGTTCATTGATTTTACCATCGACACCGGTGAAATCTTGATATGCCATATTGCGGGCAGCGCGTCGAGTACAAACCCATATTTCGTTGTGTTTTTTCACTTCGAATGCAATATATTTGATATCGGGATGTAACCAACAGTTCGTTTGACCGTACATAGTTTCCGGTCTTAATGTTGCCGCCACCAAGTAAATTGGCTTTTTAATCGATCTGCAAGTAGAAATAAACGAATAAATGATTTTATTTATCTCAATTTTAGTTATTTCGTAAACAAACAAAAATTCCAATGAAAACGCTTAATTCGGACTTTTTTTTATACTTACTGTAATTTTTGCGGCATGTTTGCGACTACTTTCATTTTAATCAAAGTGTATTCTTGTGGTCCAACACCTTCGCCAGAAGAACGATCGTGATCCATACACGGTTGGCCATCTTTCGGTGAATAGATTGTGTACCGTTTGCCGTAGGCAATCTTATTTCTTGCCTTCAAATGATTGAATTGCCATCTTATGAAGGAGTCATAGAAAGGATTTGCGTCAGTTGTGATGAATGTTCGGCGCCAATCAATCTATTTATTTAAAAAAAAAAACGAAAGATTAAATTAAATGCATCATAAAAATTAATAATTGCACTCAATGCTATGAGAGAATATGATTAAGATGCAATTTAATAAATTATTGCATCATCTTACATGAGTACCAAACTGCTTCAAATCTTGAATGGCCAATGGCGGGAAATATTCCAGCCAATGAGCTGGATCGGCGAATTGCTTAATTTCTTCATCAGCCAGACCTAAGCTTTGCATAATTTGCCATTGATATTTGGCTGCACCGGCTTTTGCAACGGCTTTGCTCTGCACATTGGAGACAGTGAAAATGTTAAAAACCTCCGCACATGGAATGTACTCAAACAGTGTTAACAAACCTTCTTGCCTTTGCTCTTATCTTTTGGAATAACATCCTTTTCTTCTTCAATCACTGTTGATTCCTCTTCCGTTGGAAATTGTGGTGGATAGCCAAATGTTTCTAATTCACGTTGTAATTTATCAGCACATGCTTTAATTGGCATACCAGTACAATGGAATCCAAATGGAATGAGGCATTTTTTGCCTCTCAAACGGTGATACCGGACAGCAAACTACCAAAAAATAAAATACCGAAGCAATTAATCACTTTGACACTCAAATGTTCATATAAAACTCACTTCAGCTTTTGAAAATGAAAAGGTGTGACCCAAATGCAGACGACCGTTCATGTATGGATAAGGAAATGTAGCCAAGAATTTCTCGTCATTGCTTTTACGTGGTTCGGCTGGTGCATCAAACTCATAAACACGTTCCTTTTCCCATTTCGCTTGAACATCACGTTCAATCTTTTGCAAAAATTCAACTTTAAATGTACCCTTTCGCTCGACAGCAGCCTAAAATTTACACAACAATCATTGAAAGACTGAAAAATGCCGCAAACGAAGCAAATTTATTTTACCATTTTAATCACGTTTTTGTGAATTTTATTCTATATAGAATCTATGCGTTTAACGCCTAACCAAATGAATAAATACCGTAAAGCGTCGTGAATTCTTGAAATTGGAAAATAGAAAATAGCCACGACAACTAATAACACAGCGTGTTCGCATTGGTTTTCGTGGTTATGACCAACTGTTGTCTGTCAAATGAACAGAATACAACTGTCACATTTTGCTGAATTAACATAACCTCACTTATTCAGACCCGAGTTGACTTACAGTAATTGGCGCTAATTCAAAACACAATCCATTCGAAACACTATATAAAAAAAAAAAAAAATAATGAAAAATTAAAGCAGTTTTTTTCGACTTTTCTGCTTTTTACATTTTTACATGTTATATTTTATTTTATATGTGTACATGTACAAAGTGGATCGGATATTAAGTGTTTTACTTTGTACTTTTATGATTGTCCAAGAATTAATGTGTTACGCAATATAAAAAATCTCTATTTTTATATGTTGGCGTTATATTTTAATAAAATCACAAAATAAGTCTGACACCCAAGTCAGTATAATACGCTTTTCGAAGAGTGTATACGCTCTTCTCACACTCTTCGTATAGTTTTATTCGACTCCCTTCTCACACTCTTCTCACTCTCTTCTCACACTTTTGCATGAAACACGTATATTGAGTGAGAAGAGAGTGTGTAATGGTATTGGTAATGATATGACTGCTGTCACTGCATTCTAGTAGTAATGTTTGTATTTTGATATTTGAACGTTTTTGACGTTTATAGCATTCGTCAGCTGTGTCAAAATACAACAGAACTACAAATTCATTTTTTTTGTATACGTTCATTTTTTTCAAAATGTCAAAAATAAACAAAATCAAAAACTATCCATCAGTGGAAAAATTTATTATAAAGGAAAAAAAAGAAAAATTTTTAGAGAAAAAAATTGAAGCTACTGAGCAATAAATGTGTTTTATGCAAAAGTGTGAGAAGAGTGTGAGAAGGGAGTCGAATAGAACTATACGAAGAGTGTGAGAAGAGCGTGTACACTCTTCGAAAAGCGTATTATACTGACTTGGGCATTGTCGCTTACAATGTATTTATATATTTATTTATTGATTTGCGGTGCTGTTGATGAACAAAATAAAAAGGCTTACGTACGCAAGCTGACTTTTCCGCATGGATCTGAAATTTTGGGAATAAACTGGAATTATGGTCTTTGTATGGTTGCAGTAACTTAAATCACCGTGAAGTGAAAACTTCCCAAGTCAGTATAATACTCTTTTCGAAGAGTGTACACGCTCTTCTCACACTCTTCGTATAGTTTTATTCGACTCCCTTCTCACACTCTTCTCACACTTTTGCATAAAACACGT